AAAAATGAGTTATTCCCAAGAACGCATATACACTTGTAACTAAACAGCTTGCTGTATAAATTAACAAGGCGAGCAAGCGAGGTAATCTCTCAGCCAGCTTTTACTGGAGGGCTGCAGTCTGCGGTTACAAAGAGAGAGTCAGTTATCTTAAAAAGTAATCTTATAGAAGTCTTAAAGGGATCACAAATGTAAATTCTTATATAAAAAACAATCAGCCACATCTACTACTTGAAATCTTTAAGGTGTGCATTTACTCATTAATGATTTTTATTAAATCATATCAAGAAGCTGAGGACAAAAACAAGTATAAGGAAATCAATTGTCTCCATCACCAGCCCAGCTTGAGAGTGTCATGTCAGCCAGTGCTACTTTGGGCTATTGTTTCTGTTCACCAACCTTAAAAAGTCCCCGACTTTCCTATTAAGAGTGTACCTTTCTGAACTTCAAATTGTTCTCTAAGATTTTCTGCGTCAGAGCCACTAGCATAGACATCTTTACTTAACCTTGCTAAACTATTTTTCCAAATTCTTTCTAAGGGCAAAGGTCCTTGTTAACAGTCTACATCTGCAGGTTCCTTTCAAGGGTGGTGGTTGAATCATTAATCAGCTCCAGCAGCAATGCCTGAATGAGATCAACTATTGTTATTTGTAGGTGCCAGTGACACTGCCCAGTGAGTTTTCATACAACTCATCATGATTGTGCTAACCAGTGAGCGTCATTCCGTGAGTTCTAGAGCTGTTTTGCTCTTGTTCCTGTATGGCTCCCGACAAATTTAATTTTTTAATTTTAATTTTAATTTATTCATTTTACTTCCCGGTTGTAGCCCCTTCCCTCTTCTCCCCCTGTCCCACCCTGTTTCTCTATCCCCCCTCACCTACTCCCAAAGCATACCGACACTTTTGACAAATATTCATTTCTCCCTTCCCAACTTTACTGAATCATGGATGTGTCTGGTTTTTAGAAGTCCCTCCAAGGCTCTTTACACTGAGGCTAGCACAGGAAACTCTGGGAATCTAGCCCTTCACCTTCACTCAATCAGGGACTTATAGGGCTAGGAAACTATCACCCCACCCCCCTCCCAGGTCCTGGCAAGTATACACTTTCAATCATAAATGTAAAATGCCACATCTGTTTTGTAAACGGAACTTAATAAGCAAACCGGAGAAAACCTCATGTATCTATAGGTTGAATATTCCTATTCTGAAAACCCCAAGTCTGAAGTGCTCCAAAAATCAAAAACTCATGTCAAATGATGTGACGCCACAGGTGGAAATCCCAGAGTTGACCTCACAAGATGGCCCAGAGTGTAAACACCTGACATGATATCACTTTTAGGTTGTGTCTAAAGTGAGCTTGAAACATGAGTGAATTTCATGGCTTGACTTCATTAGCAACTCCAAGACAACCTCATTTCGTATATGTAAATATTTTTACAGCAAACATTATCCAAAAATCCCAAACAAATGCCAAGCGCACAAGGAAGAAATGTCCATGCCCCTTCTTTATTTAACTAACTCAACACAACTCGTCTTGATTCTTGTGTTGGCTGCAATAGCTAGCTTACCATCTATGGGAAGGGCAGTCTTTATCACATATCCCAAATTGCTCGAACGATGTGAGCGGCCCTGCTCTATCTTACAATGTTTTTATTGATTTTACTGGAGTGGGCATTGATTCCATACGGGGAAAGGCTGCTAACGGAGCAACTAGCTCAGGGTGGATCCGGAACAGCTGCTTACGGATCGTTGCAAGTGCTTAGAACACAAGTGTCCTCCCTAATCTCGCCAACTCAGTTATACCTGTGGTGGGTGGGGCACAAGGCACAGGGTGAAGCCTTGGCTGTTTCTGGGCTCGCTTTGTAGAGCAGACTAGTCCCAAACTCACAGAGATCCTCCTGCCTCTGCCTCCCCAAGCGCTGGGATTAAAGGCGTGCACCACTGAGCCTGGCTCCAGGAAGACTCTTAACCTGTCTTGTGGTGATGCTGCAGCCAAGTGGCAAACCTGCCTGGTCTTGGCTGGCACTGACCAGCCACCCACTCCCCTACTCCGAGAATTCTGAAAACTAACCTGTTGACTTATCCTTTTGTATTTACTTCAAATCTCGCGTTTCTCTCTTTTTGTACTTTTTATTTTATTTTTTAAATTCTTAACTAATTACACTTTATTCACTTTGCGTTTCTTAAAGAGTGGAATGGCTTGTGGTTTTTACGGCCCAGCCAAAGCTGGAGTCCCAACTTCTTCTCTGCAAGGACGCTCAAAGGCCAGCATTGAGGTAGAAATCTCACCTGGAACAAGGATCAGAGGGTGGGCCTTAGAGCAGGGGTCGCGAGGCCCCGCCCCACGCAAAACGGCCACCTGTGTGGCAGCCAATCAGGGCGCAGCGTGTGTCTGCCTCGCCGTTAACCCAGAAGTCCACGGAGGTAGCTCCCCAGGCCCGTGCGAAGAGGCAAAGGGATCTGACAGTTGGGGCTGTTGGCAGGTTCTGCAGCAGGTGCAGCAACAGTGCGAGGTGGTGGCAGCCCGGCGGTGCCCGCGAGAAGCCTGCGGCGGCGTGAGGAGCTCAGGAGCTGCAGACCTAAGCGTGCCGAGCACGGGAGTCACTATAGAACCGACGCTGCTGGACTACAACTAACAGGGTCTGGAACCAAGCTGTGCCCACCTTGGAACCAAGCCTCAGCCTCGACAGACCTGTGGCCAGGCCTGATCCCCACTTGTTCGTAGGCACGTCCTTGTCCCCATCTCTCCTGTGCCTGGTTCCTACTTCGTTTCCGTGCCCGAGCTTCATCTGTACCTCCTTCTCGGCCTGGACCTTGTCTTCTCCTCTCACTGTTCTGGGACTATTTCCCACTTCTTCCTGTTCCCAGGCCTCATCCCCACCTCTCCATGCCCAAGCACATTCCTACCTGTATCCCCACCTGCTGCAGCCTCCAGCCCTTTTTACCTGTATCTCTACCTGGTTTCCCTACCTGCCTACCTGTCCTTTCACCTCTGAACTCTGGTAGTTAACCATAGCTGCTGTTACAAGATGCAGAGGGAGCTCTGAGTTTCCGCAGGTTCCTCTGAGGCCAAGTTATGGGGTCTTTTCTTACCCAGATATTCAAACTCCATGTGAGGTCCAGACCCCTGGGGGTAAAGAAATCAATTCACAATTCAAAGGAAAGGTGATGCCTCTTGGAGTTGGTTCTATGGGGATGGGAGCCAGGGAAGCACAAAAATAGTGAGCAGGTAGAGTTAGCATGTTGAAGTGAGTGATTGGCCCTGTAGTTTGGGGACATGGGCTCCTAGGCAGGAACTAGAGGGCCCCAGACATAGGGGGCTGGAGGGGAAGATGGGGAAGGGGCCGTCTTTGCAATGGGAGAAGATTGGCATCTCGCAGTATTGCCTTCCTAGGTGTGGCCTCTGGTGGCGTGGTCTGATGCAGCGAGAGCAGTATCCAGCCTCCCTCTGCTCTCTGTTGCTGTCAGCTGTCCCCCGTAATGTGGCCGGAGCATCTTTGACATTCTCGAGTACTCCATGCAATAGCTTTTTGTTTTGCTAGCTGGAGCAAATTGTCAATCTGTTGTCAGACTGCACTGCCTGGGTTTATAGAAGCCATATTTTAAGCCGTTCTCACTGGCTAGCCACAGGGCTTCTTCCTGCAGGGGTGATCACACTAGCATCCAGACTGGGACACCTGTGAGATTGGAAGGGTCCAAGCTGAACATCTGAGCTGACTGGGGGGCTGGGGGGTGGGGGCTCGTGCCGTGCAGAAGCAGCTTGGGGAGAGGGGAGAGGATAGCAAGTTGCTGACCATTAAAAGGTGAGCTAGAATTCTTTTGGTTCACAGAGAGGGAAGTATGTCAGCTAAGGCATCTGTGACATCCCTGAGTCATGAGGTTGGCAGGAAGAGAGAGTTGTGCTTTCTAGAGTCTTCCTCCTTCCATTAAGGCAAGGGTGTGACCTGGCACTTGACACAGACCCGTTGTATCTACCTGTGCTTAGCAAGAGACTTGACACAAGCTATGGTGTGCTGTGCCTGACAGATAACCATGTGTGATGTGCTTTGAGAATAGCTGGGATTTGCTCAAGGTTCAGGTGCTGGAGCCCAGATGACTCCACCTTCACTTTCTTTCCTGTGATAGGCCATGAACTTGCTGCTGGAAGTAGGCTACTGGAGAGCTGGGAGCTATTGGTGCAGGCATAGCAGCAGTTTAGGGAGTGTGGTTTCTCCTCACAAGGCTGGCATTCATGCACGCAAACAAGACTGTGGGAGGCCCAGGAGGTGGGATTTGGCTGTGTTCCTTTCAAGCTGCAGTTGGAACTGAGGACATCTTTGGAGGCCACCGGGAGTCTGAGGAAGGGCTCTTTGAGCAGCCACCTGGAAATGAGCTACAACTAACTGCCTCTCTTCTTTGTGGATAATACTTGCTGTGTGTGACTCATAGATCCACCTAGGAAAGAAAGAACCCATCTCAACCCTGTAATCCTCTATACACTGGCTCCCTAAGTCGTCTTATCATAAATAATCCAAATCTTTTTTTAATTGATTTGATTATTATGTATATATTATGTATTGCTGTGACATAAATGTTCATGAGGTGGATGCCTGCAGGCATGTTTGTGTGTGCCTGGTGCCTGTCAAAGCCAGAAGAGGCCTTCAGCTTCCCGGAACCGGTGGTTGTGAGCCACCACGTGCCTGCTGGTAACCAAGCCCGTTTCTACTACAGGCATAGAAAGGGTTCTCAGCTGCTAAATCATCTCTCTAGCCACTCTGAAAACAAATTATTTTCTCACATTTCCACTTGATCTCTGCCATCTAGCACAGTGGCTAGTCCCCAGGTTTTCCTAAGAAAACTGTGTGGGGGTGTTAGCCGAGCATGCTTGAGCCAACTCCTCAGTAGGAAAGGTTCAAGCATACATAATTTGGGGGCTCATTTTAACACCACCTTAGTGGTGACAGAATGGTTGAATATATGTGGGTCCATTGAGTGCTATCGCAGTTATTTCTTTTCTTACAGAAAATGACGGGCCGAGCCCGAGCCCGGGCCCGTGGCAGAGCCCGAGGGCAGGAGACAGTACAGCATGTTGGGGCTGCAGCGGTGAGTACCCACCTTTTCCATTTCAGCAGTGTCTTGACATCGGCCTGTGGGAATTAAAGGGCTGAGTAGCAGAGCATTTGCCCAGGATGTAGGAGGCTCTACATCCTCAGGCAAATCATACTCAGCCAAGCAGGTGTTACCTGGGTGCGGGGCGGGAGGGGGGGAGATGAGTTGAGCATGCTGTGAGGACCTTCACCCTTTTTTAATGATTGCATGCTTACTGACAAAGTTCCTGAATGCTGTGGGCTAGTTTAGGACTAATCTCTGGTACCCACCCTGCGGCATAAGGGAATTCAGTTGTGTTTATGTATAACTAGAGCCAGCAGCCTGGGTACATCCCACCGAGACCTCAGCCATCCCCTGCAGAGGGGGACTTGGTTGGCCGAGGACGACAGAGAGGAATGGTAGTCGGAGCCACGTCCAAGTCACAAGGTAAATGGGAGGAGAGGGGAGGGCCGCCACGTGCGGGTTGCTGGTGTTTCCACGAGGGCCCAGTGCCACGCTGCAGAATAGTGGGACATGTGCTGCCCTGTGCAGGCTGTGAATGAGAGGCTGCAGTTTGCCAGGGCCATCTCAGCAATACACGGATTTTACATGTGACCTCAGTTTGCCCCCTCTGTGCAGATAAGCCACTTTTAGAACGTCGTCCTGGCATCTGTGGTGATTTCTTCAGAAGCTAGACCAATTCTACTGTGGCTGTAATTTAGGCACAGGCGGAGGATCAGCGCAGCCACTGCCAGCTCAGAGGCACTTTGCCAAAGCATGCTCGGCTGTGGCGAGGGTAGGAAGTCTTGTCTTTGAGGGACACCGCTCCCATATACTTCTTGCTCCTCTGAAAGAGGGGAGACATCTCTTAGAAGCCCACTAGCAGGCACTACTACAGGAGCCATACCCACGAGTCCAGCTAGAATGCCACCAGCTGACCACAAAGCCATGGTTGTCCCATGGCCCGTGTATGCTGTTGCTCTCAGGCACCTGGCTGAACACACATTGCACATGGAATGGCTTGGTAACCTCAAACTCCTAGGACTGTTTTCAGAAAAAGTGAAAATTGATGGGTTGGTACTGTTCCATGCCCACTGTGCCCCTGTATGGGAGTGTACATACCCCTGCTTCTGCTTGTGGGTAGAATACAGTCAGAAGGCTACCTGTCACACTCATGTCATATCCTCACGCAGTCTACAGAGTGAACACCCTAACTCAGCAGTTCACAGCTTGTGGGTCACAACCCCATTGGCAAACCTCTATCTCCAAAAATATTTACATTATGATTCATAATTAATTTGATGGTTGGGAGGCACCACAGCATGAGGAATTATATTAAAGGGTCATAGCATTAGGAAGGTTGAGAGCCACTGTTCTAATCCCTGGATCCCTGGAGATTTACAATATAAAAAACTTTTTCCCAATCAACAAATCCATGCCTCAGGTCTTGGCATCATAACTCAGGTGCCTGGCCTTTTCGATTTAAGTGGTAGTATAAGGAGTGGCCAGGGGCAGCATAGAGATGGTCTGTGAGGGATGAGATCACAAGATGGCAGGCGAAAAAGAGTGGGCTGCCTTCCTCGCCTCGAGCCACTGTGGGAACGCTGCTGGATTTCGACCCACTTGCTGGCATGCATGAGTTGCTTTCCTCTTTCCACAAGAACTGCAGATGTCAGCTGGCTTTCAGGAGCTGTCGTTGGCAGAGAGAGGAGGGCGTCGCCGAGACTTTCATGACCTTGGTGTGAACACCAGACAGAACCTTGACCATGTCAAAGAGTCAAAGACAGGTAGGCTCATGAAAGCAACTCTTCAGAGGCCATTTTTCATGGTGCTGGGCTGCAGTGCTTCTCAGGCTCAGGGAAGAAGAGAGCCGTTTTTCAGAAGCTGCAGCCTTTCCAGCCCCTCGTCGTGTGTGTGTGTGTGAGTGTGTGTGTGTGTGTGTGTGTCTGTGTGTCTCACACACACACAGCTGGTACATGTCTTAACTGTGTGTTCTGGAAGGTTTTGTTAAACACTGCATAAACCCCTTCTAAAGAGATCAGTTGTTTTTGTGGTAGCTTGCACAGTATCTCTTGAAGCAATAGGGCAGTGAGTCTCAGGCCAGCTGTCTTGAAGGGGAGTGCTGACCACTGTCCTCAGTTCACTGTGTCTGAAGAAATGCTCTCATAGAGCATAACCATGCCAGGGGCTGAGCGAGTGTGATGACCTCTCAGGCTCCTCGGGCATCATTGTGAAGCTGAGCACCAACCACTTCCGGCTGACCTCACGCCCGCAGTGGGCCCTCTACCAGTACCACATCGACTATAATCCCCTGATGGAGGCCCGCAGGCTGCGCTCTGCACTGCTCTTCCAGCACGAAGACCTCATTGGAAGGTGTCATGCTTTCGATGGGACAATACTGTTTCTACCTAAGAGACTACAGCAGAAGGTTATTTCAAATGTCCCCACTGGGAGAGGGAGGTAGGGTGTCCACGCTAAAGCAAAGCTCAGAAAGGGTCTCCTGGTTAGGGGAAGAGGGCTCCCCAAGAGATAGATGGGCAGCGAGACTTATATGAAGGCTCCCAGCTATGCAGACGTCTTAGTCTCAGTTCACACATGTCTGTGCTTTGCAGGGGCCCCAGGAGCCTAGGCTTGCTCTTGTACACAGAGGTAAGATCTAGGCTCTCACTTCTCTGGCTCTAGGTCACAGAAGTTTTCAGTCAGACTCGGAATGGGGAGCACGTGAGGATCACCATCACCCTGACCAACGAATTGCCGCCCACCTCTCCCACCTGCCTACAGTTCTATAACATCATCTTCAGGAGGTGTGTGCCATGGCCAGTGCATGCCCTGTGGCCTGTGGGGGCGGGGGCGTGGACAGTCCTGTGTAGATTAGCAGTCCTAATCTACACGGTCATTTTAAAACATGGTTTTCTGATAGGAAATTAACTTATCTGCCTCCAGGATTCTGCCCCTTCCCTACCAGGGCTGAGAGTATGCCTTTGAAATACTATTTGAGCTGTTAGAAGCGACTTGACTTCTCCTTCCCCAAGATGAGTGGGTGGCTGCTAGGGCAGGGAGCAATTAACTTTCAGTGCACAGGTGCAGTCTCCAAATAAGGTCATGTTCTAGGTGCTGGGGAAGATGGCTGTGCAAGCATGAGGACCTGAGTTCAAAGCCCCAGCACCCCCACAAAAGCCAGGCTTGGCCATTCGCATGTAAGCCCCAGTGCTGGGGAATGGGGCAAGACAGTAGAGTCACTGGACCTGCTGGCCATCAGCAAACCTAGCTCCAGGTTCTCCGCAAGACCCTGTCTCAAAGGAGTGACGTGTAGAGTGTGTTAGAACAGAGTACCCGATGCCCTCCTTACTCATGCATGGGCACACATACCTACATATACATCACACATATCACACACACACACACACACACACACACACACACACACACACACACACTATTCTGTAGAAGACCCCTCCCTGTGAGGAGTCATCTAAATGGACCAATACTTGGGTTTATGACTTCCTTCATAAGCGCATAGAGGCTCACTGGTGAAGCGTAGCTCAGTGTGAGGGACACTTGGCCTGAGGAAATGCATTTGCTTGGTGCATTTTTCCTTAAAGGGAAGCTACCTGAGGTGCATTAGACAGCTGTTCCCCTTTCTTTCGTAGCTAGACACAGCCATAGATGGCATGCAAGTCGGCTATCCTGGTGTACCACCATAAAATGAATCAACACAATTCATTTGTGTCTTGAAGTATTTTTTTTCCAGTGTTTGGACATTTTAAGGACCATCATTAACTCCTAGGCAGTGTAGAAATGACTGGCCTGGATAGGGGTGATAGCTTGCCAGCCCTGCTCTGGCTGTCTATGGCTCTAGGACGTCCCTAGGATTCACTGTGCTAACTGTTCTCACTCTCAATTTGTAGGCTCTTGAAAATCATGAACTTGCAACAAATTGGACGGAATTATTACAACCCGAGTGACCCGATTGATATTCCAAATCATAGGTTTGTATTCTGTGGAAAGCCCACCGTCCGCAGGCTGCACAGACTTTGAAATGATCTGTAAACTAGAAATGGCCTGCTATTGGTACTCAGAGTTAAGGTAGCTTGTAACCTGGCTTAATTGATCATGTACATTCATACCAGAATACTTACATTAAAAAAAAAAATCCCATCCCAGTCAGCTGCACAGACCATGTGCCCTGTGGTCGGTCCTCAGTGCCAGCAGCTGAGGATGCTGAGACATGTTAACTCAGGATGTTAGGTGGCCCACCATAAAGATGAATTTAATCAGGTCAGTGTGTACACTTAGCAAATGCTGTTGAAGCCCTGGGAAAGACAGGGCTCTGTCTGGAATCTTGTACTTGGAAGTGAGATGGCTCAGCCTTTTCTGTGTCAGACATAGGGAAAGGAGCCTGGGGCTGCCTCTGACCCAGCCTGTATTGGCAGGTTGGTGATCTGGCCTGGCTTCACCACATCCATCCTTCAGTATGAGAACAACATCATGCTCTGCACAGATGTCAGCCACAAGGTTCTCCGCAGCGAGACTGTTCTAGATTTCATGTTCAATCTGTACCAGCAGACGGAGGAGCACAAGTTCCAGGAGCAGGTGTCGAAGGAGCTTATAGGCCTAATCGTCCTCACCAAGTACGGCTTGACTTCGTCTCAGAAAGCGGTGGGGTTGGGGAGTCAGGCAGTGGTGAGCAAATGCGAGCCAGATGTGTGACGTGTTGCCTATCCTGCAGTCAGGTACAAAGGACAGGCACCTCCTGCTTTTCACCCTTTGTTTCCAGCCACTGTTCAGTCCCTTCCCCTGCTCTCCCTCCACCATACATCTCCGGGGGACTGGAAATGTGAGTTGGAGCCTCATGTCCTGGATGCCCACAGGTATAACAACAAGACCTACAGGGTAGATGACATTGACTGGGACCAGAATCCAAAGAGCACCTTCAAGAAAGCAGATGGCTCGGAGGTCAGCTTCCTGGAGTACTACAGGAAGGTAGGCAGTTCCCTGGGTAGAGCGAAGGAACATGTGGACCTTGCTCAGTCTTGCCTACATCACCGAGAAATTCCCCACCCATCAGAGGCACCCTGCCCTGGTGGCTCTACAGTGCATCATGGGGACAAACTGATGCTGCCAGTGGGGGAAAGCAGCTTGCCATGGCCCCTTGCTCTGTACTTGGTTGGCCAGCTCTGCTCCAGCTGGCTCTCTCTCTCTCTGACTACTATGGAGTACATAGCTCTCAGAGAGGTCCCAGCAGGGCAGAGCTTGATCCTGGCAGATGACAGGAGGCCAAGGGTCACTCCAGCATCTGTGCACTCCAGCCCTACCTACCTGGATCCTATGGCCAGGACTCTAATGAAGGCCCATGAGATAGGGAGAGGGACACCCCAAATTCATGCCATACTAGCCATGCATGTCTAGTGATGTGTGAGGACCATGTCTGAGGGAACATTAGCTTTTTAAACCTTGGTGGTTGGTTCTTTAGGGAGAAAAGACGTGAGTCAGGTTCTTTATGGCATGGCCTGCTGGTGACATGGCCTGCTGCTAAGGTGGTCATTAAGACTAGACTGGTATGTCTTGGCTTATTGACCATTCCTTTCATGCTCAGTGGGACAGAAAATTAATCCAAATTAAAAAGAAAAATGGTTATAGAATAAGCAGCTTCTGGGACTATAGATGACAGGAAAGAACCTTCCCGCCCCAGGGCTTGGGAACACCATGACAAACCTGAGACATCTGTTCTTTGTCACCATGGTCAGGTCTCCCTAGGTAAGTCCTGACTTCGTGGAGCTTATTCACCTAGGGAAGTTGGGTCAGACCCATCCTTCCTCCTCCCAGACCCTCAGCTGATGTTCCTGGAATCTGTACATCACCCTCAGGATGGTTTGACATGGTGTCTAGCCCAGCTTGGTACTAGGCTTCCATTGTTAATTAGGCACCTACTGCCCGTGTGCCATACTTCCTGTTGGTGCCTAGCATACCTTCCTTTCCTCCTGAGCAGCAGTACAACCAGGAAATCACAGACTTGAAGCAGCCAGTGCTGGTAAGCCAGCCCAAGAGGAGGAGAGGCCCCGGAGGCACCCTGCCTGGCCCAGCCATGCTCATCCCCGAGCTCTGCTACCTCACAGGTGCATAGTGCTCCCCACTTGTCCTTACTCATCCCTGGCCACCTCCACTGGGGGCTCTGCAGCCTTGCTGACTGGCTGTCACCCACATGGCTCTGGCTGCAGGTCTGACTGATAAAATGCGCAATGACTTCAATGTGATGAAGGACCTGGCGGTGCACACGAGGCTGACCCCTGAGCAGCGGCAGCGGGAGGTGGGCCGCCTCATCGACTACATCCACAAGTAGGCCGGATCAGCACTCCCAGCTTCTGATTGGGGGTCCCCTGTGGATCTGGGAGGGTTCTGGAGGGCAAGAAGTGTGGCCTCCTATGTTGGCAGGGCTGTGGAAGGCTGTCCTGGGTTTCTGATACCAGTTGCTTCTCAGGGTGACAGGAAATGAAACCGTGATATGCAGATGTGCTCTTTTCAGTCCTGCCAGGGAAAGGCAGTGGGAAGGAAGAGCAAGCAGTTCTCAGACGCACATTTTCCTGCCTGTGTCAACTGTGGGTCACTCAGTGGGAGCCAGTCTGGGCACTGGGACTCTTAAGGGGGTGGAGAGAAGCTAATTCTTGAATTTCAGGCCCAGGGTGGCCTTGAAGTGTGCTGCATGCCACAGTGGCACTCTGTCCACCTGAATGTGGGTTGCTGGTTTAGCTGCTGCCTGCTCAGCAGTACTGGGTACCTGTGTTCAACTCGCAGGGATGACAACGTGCAGAGAGAGCTTCGAGACTGGGGCCTGAGCTTTGACTCAAACTTGCTATCCTTCTCAGGAAGAATCTTGCAATCCGAGAAGATCCACCAGGGTGGAAAGACGGTAAGGCTGGCGGGGTGGTGTCTGGGGTGGGAAGATGGTAAAACTGGCAGGGCGAGGTCCGGACCAAATCTCACTGGGGCGGGAGACAGCCCACCATGCTCCAGTCTGCTCCTCCCTCCATCCTGCTCTCTGCCAACTCTTGAAAACCACCAGAGCTACCCAACAGGGGCATTCTGCAAGACACCACCTGCAACTCTAGCACTTAGAACCTCAAGTCCAGCCCTTGGAATAAAACAGATCTGCTAAAAAGAGACTGAAGAACCAGGAGTGGTGCACACCTGTAATGCCAGCACTGGGAAGCAGAGCGGGCTGATTTCTGAGTTAGAGGCCAACCTGGTCTTCAGAGTGAGTTCCAGGACAGCCAGGGCTACATAGTGAGACCCTGTCTTATTTTTAAAAAAAAAAAAAGAAAGAAAGAAAGAAAGAAAGAAAGAAAGAAAGAAAGAAAGAAAGAAAGAAAGAAAGAAAGAAAAAGAAAGACTGAAGTTTTTAGGTAATAGAACAACTTATGGTACAAAAAAAAATCCTGCTGAGAAGCCCCATTTGATTGGCTTTGATTGTCTCTGCCTGAGCCACATGTCTCTCAGGAGTCATGCTAAATGCTTTTCTATTTTATCTTCAGGAAAAGGAAAAATAGTTTTATGAAATCAAAATACTGCAAATGTCTACCCTTTTAAGTTGTTTGTAGCAGCCTGTACCTTCTGCCCTGGGTAATACTGAGAGGAACAGTCCAGCTAGGTGAAGGGACAGCAGACTCATGGGGGCCCTAGAAGCTCCGGGTGTTTGCCGCCGTGGTGACCATGAGTGGCTCTTCCCTGAACCTGACCACTGTCAGAGGGCTTAGCTTTCTGACCCACCCCATTGGGATTTCACATGTTGGCTTCTACCACATGGAGATCTGCCTGCCTCTCCCTCCTGAGTGCCGTAAGCCACCTGAGCCACCACCCCAGCCTCAGCTGTAATTTCTACACCTTTATCATGAGGAAAATGGCACTCATATTTTTTTCTTTTTAATTTAGTCACTTTACAGTCTGATCCCAGCCCACTCCCTCCTCTTCTTCCAATCCCACCCTCACGCCCCCTCACCCTTATTCCCCCTCCTTCTCAGAAAAGGGGAGATCTCTAAGGATCTCTAAGATCTCTAAGGTGCTAACCCATCCTGGCACCTCAAGTCACAGCAGGACTAAGCACATCACCTCCCATTGAGGCCAGACAAGGCTGCCCAACTAGGGGAAACGGATCTAAAGGAAGGCAGCAGAGTCAGAGACAGCCTCTACTCCCATTGTTAGGGAACCCACATGATGGCCAAGTTGCGAAGCTGCTACGTATGTGAGAGGGTCTAGGTCCAGCCCATGCAAGCTTTTTGGTTGGTGGCTCAACCAACCAAAAGAGACCTATGAGGCCCCCATGGGCCCAGGTTAGTTTTCTCTGGAGGTCTTTTTGTGGTGTCCTTGACCCCTCTGGCTCCCTCTCTCTTTCCTTCCACTCTTCCACAACACTCCTTGAGTTGGACCTATTGATTGGCTGTGGGTCTCTGCATCTGTTTCTGTCAGCTGTTGGATGAAGCCTCTCAGAAAACAGTTCTGCTAGGCTCCTGTCTGCAAGCAGAGCAGAGTCATTAATAGTGACAGGGTTGCCTCTCTCTCATGGGGTGGGTCTCAAGTTGGGCCAGTCATTGGTTTTCCATTCCCTCGATCTCTGTTCCATTTTTCTTCCTACACTTCTTGTAGGAGAGACAAATTTTGCGTTGAAGGTTTTATGGGTGGGTTGGTGTCCCCCTCCCCCTACTGGAAGCCCCCCTGGCTACACAAAGTGGCGACCTCAGGCTTCATGTCCCCCACTGCTATGAGTCTCAGCTGGGGTCACCCCCCTAGACTGCTGGGAGCTTCCCCTGTCTCAGTGATGCCCCCACTGATTTCCTTTCTCCTAGTCCTCCCTCTCCCACACACCCCATTTCCCTTAAAGTGATCCCCACCCCCTCTCCTACTCAGTTCCCTCCTTTCATCTACTTCAGGTGTCTATTTTATTTCCCCTTGTGAGTGATATTCAAGCATCCTCCCTTGGGCCCTGCTTGGTGGATTGTAGCATGGTTACCCTGTACTTTATGGCTAATAACCCACTTATACGTGATTACATACTGTATGTCTTACCTTACTCAGGATGATCTTTTCTAGTTCCATCTACTTGCCTGCAAATTGCATGATGTCTTTGTTTTAAATAGCTGAGCAGTATTCTGTTGTATAAATGTACCACAGTTTCCTTATCCATTCTTCGATTGAGGGACATCTAGGTTGTTTCCAGTTTGGGGCTATTATAAATAAAGCTGCTGTGAATACAGTTGAGCAAGTGTCTTTGTGGTTTGGTGAAGCATATTTTGGGTATATGTCCAGGAATAGTATAGCTGGGTCTTGAGGTAGAACTATTTCCAATTTTCTGAGAAACCTCCAGGTTTCCATAGCATTAGTATTTTAATAAGCCTTTAGGAGGAAGGATGGAGAGCCTGTCCTGGGCACTTGGGAGGGTGTAGTGTAGGAAGGGCCCTCCGGATGCTTCTGATGTTTTCTCCATCAGGACTTTTGATCTGTCACTCTTACTTAATAAGTGTGGTAGTCTATGGTTCCATATGCATGATGGGATTGTGCAAGACCAGTAGCTTCATCACAGCTGACAGTAGTATCTCTGCCCTTTATTCTAGTTTGATTACAACCCGCAGTTTGCAGACTGGTCCAAAGAAACAAGAGGCGCACCACTGATCAGCGTGAAGCCGCTGGATAACTGGCTGCTGATCTATACCCGCAGGAATTATGAAGCGGCCAACTCACTGATACAGAACCTGTTCAAAGTGACTCCGGCCATGGGCATCCAGATGAAAAAGGCAATCATGTGAGTGTCTAGAGCCATCTCCTCTCCAGTCTGCAGAGAGATTGGCACTTATCAGAAGGGGGTGCATGTTCCAAAGTGATGCACAAGTGAGCTCACGGAAGCTCTTAGATCTTCCATGGCTTCAGGTAACACGGAGGGATCCGATGGGAGAGAAGAGCAGGCAGGAATGTTCTCGGGATAGGTGCTGAAGCCAGGATGGTGGTGCAGCTTGTTATCTATGGCCTTCACTGAGTGGCCATTCCCGTATCTGTGCTCGGTACCACTTAGGGTTGGTGCAGAAATGATGGCTGTGTGACAGGTGAGGGGTTGTACCACCCGTTTTTATTGTTGATCCTAGGATTGAGGTGGATGACAGAACAGAAGCTTATCTGAGAGCCTTGCAGCAGAAGGTGACATCAGACACTCAGATAGTGAGTAGCTGCTGGGCGCATGCTTTGCTGGGAGGGGAGGTTTATTTCGGGGGACAGAAGACTGGGATTTTGAGCTCCTTTTCAGATAGTAGTTCTCAAAAATACACATGCCCTTAGTAAGGCTGCTGAGCTGGTTCCTGTGTGAGTATGTGCCCTGTGTGAGTGTGTACCCTGTGTGTGAGTGTGTCCTGTGTGAGGAGATGCTGGGAAGAGGAAGACTACATTCTGCCTTGAAGGCTCTGATTCTAGAGGCTTTGGGGAAAGCAGAAAGGCAGAAGGGTAAGGGTCAGTTCTTGGATGTTCAACTGATGTCAGTGTGTAGCCATATAGAGACTATGGAGGTTGGTAGCCAGACTGCAGAAAGTAATGTAAGGTCAGTGTGCACAGGCTGCTGAGCACAAAACATGCCACCATGATGGGCACTCATCCTGAGCTGGGATCTCTCTGTCATGTGACACTGGCACCCAAAAGAGGAGTGGTGATAAGGTAGGCTGGTGCGGTCCCCTGTGTGCTTGTGGGAGTGCTCACAGTGGTGGTGTGAGGTGTGACTAGGGAGAACGTTGAGGCTATGGTGCTTTGGGGTAAAGAGAGCATTACTGCATGCTCAACTCCCCACCTCTGACTTCATTGCTGGTCCAGGTTTAGGCTGCGGCTTGGAAGTGTAGATAGCCACCCTCGGCCACATAGTTCAGGCAGGCTGTCCATGACATCACTGTGCTGGGGCCTAGGATTCCGTCACCTGGCACTCCTGCTCACACCAGGCACAAGTCTAAGTTTGTGTGCTTCCTGCAAAGGTTTTTGACTCTTGCGTGAAGGCTGAGCCACCCTGACCTGTGTTTGTGCTGCTGCTTGCCCTGTTGCTGTTTGACTATGCCTTCACAGGCAAGGAGGGTGCCTGGAGGAGACTGAGCACTGCAACAGTGTGGGGTCAGGGCTCAGGCCAGCAGCCAGCCTGGTTACTGTGTCCTCTGCCCAGGGAGCCACAACAGGCGAACCGTGGGAGAGGATGCAAGGGAACCAACTGGGATATTCGTTTCCCCCAATTCCCACACCCTCAGCCCTGTGGGGGATGGGGTCCTGCACATCCTTGGACTTAGACATTGGCCAATTAAGATGTCTTTGAGTTTCCCAGCTGAACATGTCCACGTTTTGTTTCATATTGCTGCTCTCTGTGTCCTCAAATGCTGAGGCCGCTGTTACACATCTCATTAGCTTGGGAACTGATGGCAATCACTTGCAAAGTCACTGGCCTCCGTGAATGAAACAAAGCCCCAAAGGAGCAGATTCTGTGAAGACAGTAACTGCTTAGGCTAAAAGCTGTGTTGACCTGAAGCAAGTGAGCGGTGTGGAGCTCCACAGGCCCCCATTGCCTTTGTACTTTAGTGGGAAGCCTATGAGTGGCACCTGGTGAATGAAACAGGAGAGTGGACCTCCAGTAGAGGGGCTGCAGTCCTCTGTGGCCATGGTAAAGATAGCTTCCTGAGTGGAGACATACCATGTTGGCTGCTGACTAGCTGACAGGAATATGTCCAATTGTGCATTAGTCAGCCATTTTATCACCAAGACAGATCCAAGAGAGGAAAGAGTGGCTGTGGCTCATGGTTCAGAGGTTCTATCTAGGGCCTCTTGGCTCCATTGTCTCTGACCTATGGTAAAGCAGAGCATCTCAGGAGGGAGGTCACCCCATGGTGGTCCCAGAGCAGCCAGATACCAGATACATCACATCCTTCATTGGTGTCCCATCCCCCACCCCACCCTGGCCAACCTCTATCTAGCCTCAGCTCTTCTCATGTACACCATCTCCCAGTGTCACTGAGGCAAGGCTCAGCAGGCAGATCACCAGTGAGGGCAGAGTCCTACCTCTGAACACTGCTATACTAGAGTCCAAGCCCTCAGCAAGCCAAAGCAAGTTGTCTCTAAGAACCAGCCAGAAGCTTCTGTCTGGCTCACACAGAAGCAGTAAAGAGCAGAGGTGTGTCCCATACCCTCTGCCTCAGCAGGCCATACAACCACAAGGGGCAGGAGCAGGCTGCCCATGTGAATGGAGACCTGAACAGTGGCCTGCCATGCCCATACACTATTCCTTTGCCTTCATTTTCTTCTCAGAAGCCACAGGCAATTGGATAGCTGCCGCTCTCCCTAGCGTGATGAAGACAGCAGGTGGGGCCTATTTTGTTGGGGACCAGAGATAAGAAAGACGAGTCTGGGTGCACATTGGGGGTTGCAGTTGTGAGTCACAAACTAAATTTGACTTTAGAATCTTAAATGGGGATCCTCAGAGTTTGGGCAGGGGAACTCTTGGGTCAGTAACTCCAGCTTGTCCTCAGAATAGTCACCTTCTCCTGGGAAAGTTCATTCTGACCAGATTCCCAAGCTAGAGCTTTAGGGTTTAAAAGCTGTGGGTCCAGAGGAGCTGTCAGCTAAGGTCTGCCCACCTGCAAGGCAGGGCACTTGTATTCCCTGTTTTTCCCTGGGCCGCTCATGCTGCCTGTGTGCTGTGTTCAGGTCTCAAGGAGCAATGGCTTTGTTTCACTGCCCAGGTTTGTTTTATGTGCACTGCCTCCCATGCAAGTACCTGTCACATAGAATAAAATGAGCAAAATAGAAATGTCACTCCTGCCCCACTGATTAGTCACATGGCAGAGTTGGTTGGTGACGAGAGTTGGTGGCAGCACAGGGTTCAGGTCTGTCCCCCTGCTCTCGGCCTTCCGTTTCCTGGTTCTCTGTAATGAGGTACTTGGTTTGTTTTCAGGTTGTCTGTTTGTTGTCAAGTAATCGGAAGGACAAATACGATGCCATCAAAAAGTACCTGTGTACTGACTGCCCCACCCCAAGTCAGTGTGTGGTGGCCCGGACCCTGGGCAAACAGCAGACGGTCATGGCCATTGCCACCAAGATCGCCCTACAGATGAACTGCAAGATGGGAGGCGAGCTCTGGCGGGTAGACATGCCTGTGAGTTGGCTTTCATCCGGAGACAGGGTGGTTACATGGTTATTTAGGGAAAGGAGCCTAGCTCATGGCTACCGTCACCCTCCCACACCTAAATGGCACTGTTTTCACTAAAGCTGAAGCTGGCAATGATTGTGGGCATCGACTGTTACCATGACACCACAGCTGGGCGGAGGTCCATCGCAGGATTCGTTGCCAGCATCAACGAAGGGATGACCCGGTAAGCCAGGGAGCAGCAGTGGTGCCATTAGGTGGCCAGCTCTGAAAGTGCCTTGCTTTGACAGCTGTTCTTGGCCCCTACATGTGACTCACCCAGTCCCCTGCTTTTCTACATCAGTTTTCAATGTGTTTGTGGAATGAGGGAATAGCCCACAAAGGCAGAACCTGGAGCCTGGCCAAGTGTTCCTTGTAGGTGTCAGTGGCTGTGGCTTTGGTCTTGTGGAGCAGAGGGGATCATGGAAGACACAGTCTCCCAGGAGCAGAGCAGTGAATACTTGTTCTGGTGGGTGGGTGCTCCCCAGGACCCCTCTGGTCACTCGCCAGTTCCTGCTGAAGAAATGACACTGCTAAGTTAGAATTTGGGACTCTCATGGATGACTTGAGATGGTTTCTTGCTCTGTTGCTTAGCTGAGGTCTCCTGGGAATGTGGGGAAGGTGGCAAGAATCTGCATAGGAAAATAGAGCCCAGAGCTGCTGAGCCTGGCAGAGCCAAGTCCTCACCACCTGGCTTTTTTTTTTTCTTTTCTTTTCTCAACAGCTGGTTCTCCCGCTGCGTCTTTCAAGACCGTGGACAGGAGCTAGTGGATGGGCTCAAAGTGTGCTTGCAAGGTGAGTCTGTGCCCCCTGGTCCTGCTTGGGGCCCTTGGGCTGTTACTGAAGGTGGCTGGGACCTGAAAGGAGACAGTGATTGTGAACTTGCAACCTCCCTCACCTTTTGCAGCTGCTCTGAGGGCTTGGAGCGGCTGCAATGAATATATGCCCAGCCGTGTCATTGTGTACCGAGATGGTGTTGGGGACGGGCAGCTGAAGACCCTCGTCAACTATGAGGTCCCACAGTTCCTGGACTGCCTTAAGTCAGTCGGGAGAGGTTACAAGTAAGTACATGGGTCTGACATAGATGCCCACTCTGAAGCTGTCACTGGATGGCAAGAAGAAGAAGGCTGGGTGGGCTTCACAGGAGTGAAGGCAGTGGCAGGTGGGGGAGGCAGGACGGGTCAGGCAGCCAGGGCAGCCTTCCTGTTCCCTGAAACTGGTCCTGGTTACTTTATAATTCAGCCCTGCTCATCTCCTGTGGTTCGCTCAGGGTAAGACACTTTCTGTGGTCCCCAGCAGTCCCTGCCAGCACACCACCATAAGCTCCCTGCTCTGAGCCCAGTCTAGACAAGCAGAGACACTTGAAACAGAGTGCTGTGACTCACGGCACATGGATGCAGGACCCAGCTGCGTTCTCTGATCTACCCAGAGCTGTGAGCAGCTGGCGGGCCTTGCAGAAGCAGAGCTTTCCAGGCAGCTGGTGACATTTTTTGGCAGGGCCCTGCTTTTCCCTGTAAAACTGATTTTTTTTTTTCTGCTTATTGTCACCGTGTTGTGGAAGAGAACCCACAGGATGCACTGTGCGGGCCCCATGCCCAGGCTCTCAGGAGAGGCTGATCACTGGAAAATGAGCAGTTACTGAGTAGCATGTTCTTTGGACCCCACTCTGCCTGAGAATGGGGGTCAGCCATGTCTGAGCTTGGGAAGGAACTGGATCAGGACTGCCAATCATGTTAGAGGCAGCCTCATTCTGAGGCCTGACTTGCAGACTTCCATGTGAGTTGTGTATGCACAAGTGACTGTCCCATGGAATTTAAGAGAATCGTATCAGAGGTTGGAGGGTGAGGTGGTGAGTCATCAACAGACTCCTCACTGCCCCAAGGGAGAACTGTCTACAGGCTACATGCTCTAATTCCCACTCAGTGTAAGCAATACAGAGGGAGCTCATGGTAAAGTATATGCTACAAAACAGCCAAAGAGCATTGGCTGTAGGGCTCCGCACAGCGTCTCTGAAACTCCAGGAAAATGTGGAGCATGAGTGTCAGCCCTTCCTGGTAATGTGAATTAGTGCTGTGTGTTTGTATTTAATATAGTGCCCAAATATTAACCTTTGTTAACGGATACTGTAACCGTTAACATATACCGTGATATACAGTAGAGGATGTGCGTCTACACGCACAGACACACACATATACCACAGTGGGATCCATCTTGAATTCTGGGATTCAGTAGTCAGACATCAGTCCTCCCTGAACCAGCTCTCCTAGACAGATCTCAGGGCAGGAAATGCTCACTGAGGTGTCGACACCAAGTCTGCAGGGGTGACGGGTATAGTAGATTGGGGTTATGCCCACACATGACTAGCCTCATATCACAGGGCACGCAAGTGACATATGGTTGTCCACCTCTGTGTCACTCCTGGCCTTTGAACCTGGGGAAGGTGCTGACCATCCTCCAGCATGCTGTGAGATGAGGTGTCACGTCGGGGCTCGCTCTTGAGGGATGTGTGAACATGTCACTTCTTGCCTAGACAGGCCATCAACTCTTTGTTCTCTTTGTTCGTCCTCAGCCCAAGACTCACTGTAATTGTAGTGAAGAAGCGTGTCAATGCCAGGTTTTTTGCTCAGTCTGGGGGAAGACTCCAGAACCCTCTTCCAGGGACAGTCATTGATGTGGAAGTCACCCGGCCAGAGTGGTGAGTTCTGGGCCTCTCAGCTGTCAGTGTTAGCTTGTTTGTTTCCAGTTCCTGACACTGTGTTTCTTGGAAGTCTTCATTCTTCTGCTAACCTGGTCTGGCATGCTCCCTAAAGCCCAGCGTTGTCCTAAGTTCCAGACTCTGAGCATTTGAGACCTTGGGAGGCAACGCCCCCTGGCTGGCTGCTTAGGAGTTGAGAAGTTTTCTCTTGTGTGGCATTTCCATAGATTGTGTCAAGCAGATCTTTAGATCTGTGATGCCTCGTGCAGTCCTCCAGGGGTCAAGGTGATGAGAAGGTATGTGTGTCGGCAGATCTGTAGCCTGCAGCTGACTCCAAAATAAAAAAGTAAGAGGGAGCTAGGCTGGTCCCAGCATGCAGGTTCAGCCGAGTATGTGGATAGATGCTCACCTCCGGAGACCGTCTCACCAGCTCTCTTCTGGGGTTGGGATGGTGTCCCAGGTAGTAAGCTTCATCCCAGGGGGCAGCAGTTCACCACTCAGTCTGAAGCCCCCTTTCTTCTAGAGTGTGAGGCTATGGAGGGCTTCCAGCATTGCAGGTGAGGGCTGGGAAAGTCTGTAAAGCCCCCACTTTTCCTTACTCAGGTGGGCAAGCTGCTGATAACAGCAGAGCATCATGGGTCTGAAAACCCAAATCAGGGGTTTAAGTGCTCAGTTTAAGCACACACTCCAAAGTCTAACCTCTGAAGCATCTGTGGGCGGTGGCATCTCAGAGATAGAAATGGCTACAAAAGGTTTTTGTGCTGTCTTCTCAGCTATGTGATTGAACAGGGGTGTTTATTTTGAAATGCACAAGTTTTAGGTTTTCCTTTTTGCTCAGAGGTAGGCTGTGTAAATGGTTTTGGAGGAGAGGCCTGTCACATAAGGAGCACAGTGGGGCAAACAGATGAGGCCAATACCCGTGAAGGGCCAGTCCTTTGTCTGAGGCCTCTGTCACCCTTAACAGAACCTGCCATTAAGGGTCCAGGGCACTAGACAAGAAGAGAGGGTTGGGAGCCCATGTACTTAGGGACAACATACCTAAGTGAATTTGAAAGTGACAGGCCTGTGTTCTCGCCAGATGCCATTCAAGCCCAGCAGCTGTGCGAGCCACTCAGGCCCTTGGAGCCAACAGCAGGGACCTTTGAAGGTGGCAGTCTGGATGCTACACACACAGCTCTCCCTCTCTTGGTTAGAGCTTGTCTGTTCCTGATGGGCACACCATTGAATATCTCTCTTGGTATCTCCCAGACAGACCCCAGTGTAGTCCACTTCTGATTTCCGATTTGTCTAGGGTTGGATTGCAGGAGCTCTTCACTGACATTCATTGGTACCAGAGAACAATGAACTATGAGTGGTGTTCAGTTGTTTCCTAGTGTGCCATTTAGCTTGGCCTTTGCTTGGGTCCTCTGCTAGCTGTCTATACATTTGCTCTGCCTCTGGCTCTAGCACATTGGTTCTGAGTCCTTAGTGATTTGTAACATTTGTTACACTGCTGTTACTAAGATGAGAACAGCAGGAAGAAATTGGTTCTACCCTACCCTGCTGCTGTGCCCATGCTGTGCCCCTACAGCATGCAGGAGACACAGGCCCAGGAGTGTGGCCAGTATGCTCTATGGCACTGGCATGGTAACACATATGGAAAGAGTCTTGCCTTCACAGTCTTCTATGCCCACTGTCACAATGGCTCATGAAGAGCCTATGCTGGCTGTCGCAGACACACTGGGGCTGGAGGAGAGATGGGATTGTTTAGAACACAAGGTTTTTCCTCATAAAAAGTATGTGTCCTTGCCTTACCTGGCTCTTCCTGCCTTTCCAGGTATGACTTTTTCATTGTGAGCCAGGCAGTGAGGAGCGGGAGTGTGTCCCCGACACACTACAATGTCATCTATGACAGCAGTGGCCTGAAGCCTGATCACATCCAGCGGCTGACATACAAGCTCTGCCACGTGTACTACAATTGGCCTGTGAGTGTACTATGGTCTGGGTCCCCATTCAGGGCCACCTCCCGTGCTTAGCTTGCTGTGGTAGGGACCCTAGGAGTCCCACCCAATCTAACCCAGTGACTGGCCCTCTCTCCCCCAAACAGGGAGTCATCCGAGTCCCTGCACCCTGCCAGTACGCACACAAGCTGGCCTTCCTTGTGGGCCAGAGCATCCACAGAGAGCCGAACCTCTCCCTGTCAAACCGCCTCTACTACCTCTAACCAACAGTGAGTGCCTGTGTGCTGGCCTCCTTCCAGAACTCTGCCAAGTTTCTACTTCTGGTTTTCACATGATTGTCGTTCTAGCAGGATGATGGGGGTGGGGGTCGGGGTCGGGGTTGAGGAGCTGCAGTTTGGTTTTTAGTGTTGCTATAGATTTAACTAAAGTTTAACGTTTGCTTCGTTTCTCATAGTGTGTTGCAACAGTTTGCTTGGCAGAGAGGTGACAAGGCCCTTGGTACCACAGATAGACTTTCCTAAAGCAGCCGTGTTGGCAGGTTCTCAGAGGTGCTCCTGGGAGCACATGCTACCGTACACTGCTCTCTTTGTTTGTGCACATTGAGTTTAAAGGAGGAAAAGGCATAAGCCAGGAATGTCCACAGCAGCACAGGCAGGTGCTATGTGGGGCTTGGACACCTCGGGATTTAAAGATAATAAGTCTGGGGTGCCTTCCTCTGTTTCTCTTAAGAGTTAGGTCAGAAGGGATGAAAAGAATTTTTGAAGGCTTTAAACTTTCCACCATGGAAGAGTTTTCAGTCTGAAGAGGCTGGTAGGAGAGTGAGTGTTGTTATTTACCTTATTTTGTAGTTTTCTTACCAAGGAAAATAAGTGACCACTTTCTTTAACAGGGTAGTTTTGAGGTTTTTAAAGCCTGCATTTGCTTTCTGTTTTAAAACTACTGGAGACCACAGTGGATAGAACTCCACTCCTGAAAGTCAATGTGTGGTAGCACATGCCTGTGATCTCAGCACTCGGGAGGTGAAGCCGGGAGAAGCCCAAGTTCATGGTCAGCCTAGGCTACATAGTGAGACCTTGTCTTAACAAAAAGGAAAAAAAAAAAAAAAGAAAAAAGGAAAAAGAAAAATAGAGCAGTATAAGTTGTGGGTGCCAGTATCTGCATGGAACTTTGGGAGGAAGAGCTGCCTCTGTCCCTAGAGTCTGGAAGGCTGAGGCTGGAGGGGCAGATGCCACACAAGGTGTGGTAGCATCTCTTGGTCTGGCTCTTGCAAAGAGGAGGCTTGGAGTTACTCAAGTCTCAAGAGCAGCTTGATGTGTAGCTACTATGTGATAAGTTTTACAGATTGGCAGTGCATGTGTCCCTGGCATGTGTCCCTGGCACAGCTCAATAAAGTTTCCGTTTCGCTTTCCTGCTGTGGGCGTCTCTGTGATACCTCTAGGATCTGGCCTTATTGATGTCAACAACAAGCATTTTCTTTCCTTGCAGTTCTCGAAGCCAGTCCCTGAGCCACCATCTGGGTTCATGGCATGCAGCCTTAACCCATCCCATGTCTGGCATCAGAGAGAGACACACAGGCTGTCAGGCCCCAAGAAAAGCAGTACAGTATTAGGGTTTCAAACTCAGATTTGAGTGCCTTGATGGGTCAGCATGACTTTATTCCCCAAGGATTGGCAGGAAGGCAGAATCTCCTTAGAGTTACAACATACCCCCTGATTATCATACCCATGGCTGTGGGTGTTCAGGTTGTTCTCAAAGAGGCCTGCTCCTCTTCCCTTTCTGAGCCCCTCACCCAGTGTTACTGCTGGGTGTTTCTTGGCAACTGGCTGTGACACAGGCCCTGGGCTTTGGGCTTTACTAGGAATTCAGGACTTGGAGGGATAGGCACAGCTGATTTGTCCAGAGGTATGGGGCAGGTGCTGACAAGCCAGGCAGAGAGGGTATATGGGCATGTGCCGAAAGGCCAGGTATACAGGGTCTGGCCTGTCTTGCCGTCAGTGTGGGTATGTGGATTCTTCACACGAGGTATGAAGTAGCCGGCCTCACCCAGAGAGAATACTTCTTCAGTAGAGTGGGAGAACTAACCTGGAGGTTTCCCTGAAGACCCAAACTCCCAGAGTGGCATAACCCAGACAGGGCCATGCCACCCTGTCTTGGATCTGTGGTGGGGTCCTGCTCCAGTCCCCAGCCCTCCCCAAGCGGTTTCTGCATGTTAACCTAAGACCCTGACCTTCTGTTACAGCAGTTTTCAGGATTAGAGGCTAGGCCCTGGTGGCCTCAACAAGCTGGGCTCAAGTGACCCATCCCCCAAAGGCCAATGAAACAGGCAAGTTACAGTGAAAGCCACAAAGGGGAGAATTACTCAGTGTGGCCACCCTGAAAGGAAAAGTGATCCAGCAATGCAGAGCCAGCCTCGGGATCTGGAAGTAAGGCTTATGTTCACATAGAGGGCAAGAGGTTTGCACAGCAAAGCAGTTGTGGTCAGAGAGTGTTGCACCCACCACCACAGCCTGGGTTCCCTTCTTCCTGCAAGGTAGCCTGACAGGCTCTCACACCTTCATGAAATCTCTTTCTAGACCACAAGCTCCCCTCTGGCTGGCATCAGAGCCCTAGCTTTTGCCTTCCTCCACTTTCTGGGGTTCCATTGTTTTGTTTTGTGGTCATTTTTTTATTCTTAAGCCAACACAAGTTTTGTGCACTGGTTGTCCAAGCCCTGGGGAAGCCAAGGTTATGAGGAATGCCAAGAGTTTGAAGACAGCCTAGGGTCCAGCCTAGACCCTGTCCCCCAAGCAAAAACAAGCCCTTGGCTTTTGTTTTTGTTTTTGTTTTTTTACGGAAGTAGGGATTCACACCCAGGGACAACACACAGAACACCTGTTCATTCCCAAAAGGGCATGAACAGACCAAAGAAGCCATTTCAGCTGGATCCACTCAGGTGAGCCGGCGTGTTTATTGGGGTTACTCAAAGGCAGCTGTGTCACCTAAAGCCCTCCCACCCTGGCGACAGCTTCAAAGTTGCTTCAGTGGAGCCCCCAGCAACCATCTGCCATCTCTGTAGCATTCCCCAGACCACTTGCATCCTGGGGGGCAGGAAGGCACGGTGGCTGTAGCCTCATGTGAGGTTCTGTCGTGGCACCACAGCCACCCCACAGCCACCCCACAGCAACGAGCGCACTGGTGTGCGGCACCAACTGTCGCACCCTTCCACCAGTGAGTTTTCCCCACTGACCCATGAGGATTCTGCCTTGGCGCCACACCAAGCTCCCATGACGTACTAACACTGGCCAGACAGCATGCCCTGCTATGACTGGCATCTTGTTGGAATTATTGTTACCTAACTCTTGAGACCGGTAGGAAAGGGTTCTGTATGATTGTATGTGTTTAGGGCTGATTGCATAGGAGTGAATAAACTATGGGGGAGGAGGGCTTGACCCTGAAGCAGCCTTTGATTACTTGTAGATCTTCACCTAGGGGTGGGGCTTGTGAGATTCCCCTCCCCACTTCGAAAGTCAACTGGAGGTGTCAGTGTGCAGGCCTTATGTGTGTACTTTCCCAGTCACGGGTAGAAGACACTACCTCACAGCAGATATGCCATGAGCCTTACGTGTAGGGTTGTGTTGTAGATGTATCAACCGGGGATCGGGCACCCCATGGTCATTTGTTCTCTGCAGTTTGACCAGTTGTGGTTTTCTGTAATAGCTTCTGTCTGCTCCAAGAAAAAAAGACTTCTTTGATGGGGAGAGAACTACATTTATGTGTGAACATAAGGATAAGCATTTCGAATTAGTTACGAATTGTGCCTGTTTAGGGAAGAGGCAGTAGTAGCTTCTCCTCCAGGGTCCGTGACCTCACCAACCATACTTGGTAGCTAGGCTTGTTATGCTAGGCAGGGACTCCCTCCTAGGGACTGGCCCTCATTTCCCCCCACTGCTCTTCCCCATTTTCCTGCCCTTTCTTTTTCACCTCTCACAAGCCGCTTGCATCACTGGCAGCACTGTGTCCTGGCGTGGTCTGCTCTTTGTCTTCTGTGGACCAACTAGATTCTTCTCCAATACCACCTTCCCAGAACTTACTGGTATGTACATATGACCCCAACACACCGTTCCTTTTTCTGCCAGTTTTTGTGCACAGGGGTCTCTGTCCCTCTCCTCTAGCCTAGCATTCCTTGTGGTGGTCATTCCTTCAGACAGCCCACCTCTTTCCTCTCTCCATGCTGCACCTGAAGTCAAAGCTATGATAGTCAGCAGCTGACAGAAACAGACACAGAGCTTGGCCAGAGGCATGGTGGCTGCTGCATCTGTGGTGAGTTGTGACACCTTTCTGAGGGACTTGCCACCAAGGGGAGCAGACTGTCACCAGAGACTGTCATACCCTTAAGGACAAATAGAACTGGTTATTCAAATCCGACAGGAATTTGGCAATTGTTGGGAGGACTTTCTTGGGGGTGTAGACATGAGCACAAAAGGCAGGGGTTCCTTGGAACTCTGTCCCTCTCCCTACTGCAAGAAACAATGATCATGGTCCCCTTCAGGATCCGGTACATTCAGAGCTCATGGAGAACGGCAGACAAGTAGAAGGTGCTAGGCCCCTACCTTCCCTGGTGGGCAGTTGCTGCCTTCTTTGTCTGGGCCTCTCAGTTCATCTTAGGGTTGAAAGGTTACAGGCAGAGCACACTATCCGAAAAGGAGTGAATCTCAAGCCCCAGGATATATAAGGTAAGACTTTGCATCCTGAACCAATGGGATATGGAACACGGGAAGGGGGCAATAGTAGGTACAAAGGGTCCAGGAAATGCTAGCAGGAATATAAAAAGTAGCTTTGTGTGTCTAGGCTGATGACCAGCAGCAGGGTGGAAAAATGAACTGCATCATTTTGGCCCCTGAGCCTCCGAGAGATGCAGAAGGAGAGGCAAGGGAGGGGCTGCCTCATCCTTTACCCCATGAGTTTGCATATATCCTAGGTGGCCTCGGGGAGGGGACCGTGTGGTGTTGGTGCATTAGCCAGGCTAGAATCAAAGACACCAGCTACTGTGAATGGCCAAGGAGGCTAAGTAGGGCTAAGATATCAGGGAAGAAGCAAGAGGACAAGCAGAGAGGATGCGGTCCCCGAGAGCTGGCCTGGATTGTGGCCCTCCGACTCCATGGCCCTACCCCTCAGGACAGGAACACCACCTCTCCCAGGACTGTGTCTGACAAAGTGAACAGTCTGAACTCTTATTTATCTGTACTTGATCACATCTCTTCTCTCCTCAGTGGGACTCCTGAGG